ACCTATAGGTTGGACAATGCCCACTTTTGGTGTAGGTCAAGATTTCTGGTACCCCCGAAATCTGGGTTAGCCCGCTTGTTCTTAAAAGCAATCATTTAGAGGAACCAAGTTTGGAACAAATTTTAGTTTTGGAGGTAAGAAAGAGGAACAGATTTACCTTGATCTGTCGGGGCAGAAATAATGAATACCCCCCCCCCAACCCCCTGACTTGTCGCTTCGTTAGATTTACAAAGTTCTTTCGGCTCAGTACCTAGTTTTGAGAAATATGGCGTAAAAAATTTTACGTTTCATGTTTTTTATTTTTTTTAAATTTCATTTTTTAAATATTATCTTGGAAACGACTCCAAATAATTTTACGATTTTGATAGAGCAGACAGAGCATTGTGATTCTGACCTCATGTTCTTAGTCTTACTTTAAGAACAATGTTATCTAAGACGGGGAAAATGTATCTCTATATTTAAACAATCTAAAATATAAAACATGTCTTGAACATATCAAACGAGGTCAATAAAAAAGAACATAACTATGAAAATTTTCCCTCCCGTCTCACACTTAACTACCAGTTGTCCATTTTCTACTTAATATTGATGCGCTGAACAAGAATATCAACTTCATTTCCGTCGCAAAATTAATAGTTTTGGAAATATTTGATTTTTCTTAATCGAGCTATTATTACACTAGATCTAGAACGGGGGGCTAAAAAGGGGGGCATGCCCCCCCCCCCCTGATTTAGCCCAGAATTTGATATTTTACAGTTTGGTTAGAAATTTCCTTGAAAATGATTTTTTTTGGGACAGTTTTGGCGGCTGCATGTGTGATCTGCAGCAAACAATACTGTACTTTGACCCCTGAAGCAGAGCATCAGTGAACGGAAGTGAAAGTAAAAATTTACCGAAATACTCACTCCTGATCAAATCTATCCACATCTGTTTGTGCTGCCCTCAGCTCCGACATAAGCGTCCATTCTGTGAATAAAATACAGTTATAATGTCAGAGGTGACAGTTTAGAGGTTAGAGGTCAACTGCTGCTAAATATACATAGACTAGGTAAAAGTTCAGAAATTTCAGTTAAGCTTGTTTACAACATTTTGAAAGATTTTACGCCGGTCAGGGGTTTTCATGGAATGTTAATCCCCCCTCGTCATGTATGGTGATAAAACAAGAATAATAATAACAATGACAGTAATAATAATAACAATGACAGTAATAATAATAACAATGACAGTAATAATAATAACAATGACAATGACAATAATAATAATAATGATCATAA